GGTGATGGGGGCAGAGGGGGGGCAGAGGGGGGATGGGATACGGTGATCGGGCAGAGGGGGGCAGAGGGGGATGGGATACGGTGATGGGGCAGAGGGGGGCAGAGGGGGATGGGATACGGTGATGGGGCAGAGGGGGGCAGAGGGGGGGCAAGCACGACGCAAGTTGACTGACTTTATGCCAAGGTCACTAGAGCTTAGAGGCAGGCGGCGCACGGAGGAGACGGACACGGTTGATGCCGCCGTCGGGCTCGGAGATGACCTTGACCCGAGTGATGGGCTGCGACCAGGCGTACGACGCCGAGAGGGCGATGTGGTCGCCAGCGCGGACGACAAGAACGTTGCCAGCGTACTCCTTGGTGAGGAGGCGGTCGACGAGCGGGAGCCAGTCAGAGTCGGCGCTGCCGTCGGCGCCCGGGCGGAGAGCGAGGACGGTGACCCGCCACGGGTTGTTGTTGCGGAAAAAGGCAAAGTCGAGGACGACGGCACCGAGGACTGTCGGCTCGGCAAGGGCAATCTCCAGCCAGTCGACGTGGCCGGCCACCCGCGAGCGCGCCGACTCAAAGCCGTCAAACATGCCCATCGGCGGGTACGCCGCGAGCGCAGCCACCGCCGGGCCGTAGTGCTCGTTGGACGCGGCGACGACGAGCCCGCCGGCCGCCAGACACGCCGCGTCGGCCAGCGGCGCGCCCTTTGGCTTGATGCCGCGCGCCTGGGCGCGGAATGCCTCGGCCATGTGGTGCGTGACCGGAACGACCTTGGGGATCGGCGCCGCCGACCGGACCACCACGGGCGCGCCAGGCGCAAGGCCCGCAGGCAGCCCGGCCGTGCCCGGCGGGTAGAGCCCGATCCGGGTGATGCCGCCGTCCGGGTAGTTGAGCACTCGGAACTCGCCCACCGGGAGCGTCGGCGTCTCCAGCGCGTACCAGTGCTCAGAGTGCCCATCGAGCGGGATCTTGCCCAGCAGCTCGCGCCACTCGCCGCCGCCGACCGGCACGTACTCGACGCTGGCCGCTTGCGCGTGGTTGCCGTCGTGGAAGAGCGTCGAGATGCAGACGTAGCCCACGGCCGCCGGGCTCTTGGTCACCGCAAAGTGTGCCGTGTCGTAGCCCGGATGCGGCGGGTACGACCGGTGCCGCGCCGTCTCCCACGAGTCCATGATCTTGCCCTGCAGGCCAAAGGCCTCGGGGTCAAACACCGCCACCCGCGGCTCGACAAGGTTGCTCGCCGGCGCAAAGGCCTCCGATGACGTCGCCACCAGCGCCGCGCCCGATGCCACGTCGTACTCGTTGAGCTCGCGGATCGGCGTCGATGCCGGCCGCGCAATGGTCTCCGGCACCGCCGGTTCAAACGCCGCAAACAGCAGCTGCCGGTACGCCTGGTTCACGATCTGGTGCGCCGGCCACGGCGAGGGGTCGAAGGACTCGAGCGGCGCAAAGGCATCGAGGTCCACGCCCGTCCACTCGAGCCCGCGGAGCACGTTGCGCGCCATCTCCACGTTGGTGTACACCCCGGCGAGGTCGCCCGTCGAGACCGTGCAAAAGCCGGAGCCGGCGTCCGGGCCTGAGAAGACCACCGCGTAGATGCCGGTGTACCCGTCGTTGGACGCCTGGTGGATCATGACCCGGTTCGATCCGGCCTGCACCACAAAGAGCCCACGCCCGGCCCGTGCGTTCTGGAACGCCACCGCCCCGCGATCGAGCGGCGCGCCGAGCATCTGCACCGCCGTGTCGTGCGAGAGCGGGTACGTCGCACCCGGCGAGGCAAACGCCTGCGCGAGCACCGCCGTAAACTTGAGGATCGAGGTCGGCGTACCCCACGCGCCGGCGGCAAGCGCCGGAAAATGCAGCCGCGGGACCGGCGCCTTCGAGTCGCGCGCCCCAGCCACCGCTGTGTACCCGTCCGGGAGGACCGCGTCGACGTCGCCAAACACAAGCTCTGTCGTCGGGTCAAGCCCGAGCTGCGGGAGCCATGCCTCCATCAAGTCCACAATGCTCACGCCCGAAAACGCCTCGAGCAGGTGCTGGACGAGAATAAAGGCCCCGCCCGAGTAGCCAAACTGCGAGCCGGGCGCCTTGCCCACCTTGATGGGCGCGTAGCCGGCTTCCATCGCCCCGGGCGTCTTGCCCTCCATCAGCTCAACCGGCGCACCCGACGCAGCCACCCATGACGGGAGGCCAAAGACGTACGGCTGGCCAAGCCCGGAGTGGTCCACAAGGTGCGAGAGCGTGAGCGCGTCGAGCCAGCTCGCGTCGGCGCCTGGCACACTCTCGTCGAGCTCGAGGACAAACGGCGAGCCGCAGGCGGCGAGCATCGCCGCCACCGGCGTCTCGAGGCCAAAGCCCACAACCGGCACGGCGTTCGGCAGGAACCGTGAGGCCGTGCCCACAAAGTACTCGAGTGCAAGCGCGGTGCCAAGTGTCTTGGACATCGAGGCCATCTGGAAGAGCGACGAGGTCGGGCATGCCGACGCACCAGCCACCACCGTCTGCGCCTCGACCACCTGTGGCAGCGGCGCCCGCCACTCGAGATCGCTCCGCGACGCCACAACCTCAAGCACCGAGTGCTTGATCATCGACTCGGCAGCGGCAGTCGGCGGCTCCAGGAGCGTGTCGCCGCGCGAGAGGCAGGCGTAGCCAACAGACTCGACGCCGTGCGACCCAGCGAGCGCCACAAGCCACTCGGCCGTCGACGCCGAGACCGAGTCGTCGCCGCGGAGCCGGCGGAGTGCAATGGCGGTGAGCTGCGCCGAGGCCTCTGCAAGCTCGGCCTCGGGGCTCGAGTCGTGGAGGCGGGTGTTGAGCTCAGCGAGGAGCTCGGCGCCCGACTTGCCAGCAGCCGAGATGAGGAACTTGAAGCCGTACTTGGCGGCGTACGCCTCAGCGCCGGCCACAAGCTCGCCCTCGAGGCCCGAGCCGGCGACTCCCGCCTGCTCGGCCTGCTCGTGAGCGGCCGCACGGGCGGCAGCTCCGATGTCGCCGTGAAAGTCGGCGGCGTAGATGACGTCGTCGACCGTCAGCCGAGTATCCGGCTCGTCGAGGAGGTAGGCCGCGACACGGCCGGCATCGGGAAAGTTGGTGTGCGAAAAGGCGAGCGCAAGGCGCGGGTGGGCGATGGCGGCAAAGAGAGTGCGCCAGCGGAGGACCCGGGCCGGGAGCGCAAACTTGGCCGGCTCGAGCGCCGTGGCCGCCGCCCACGGATCGGCCGCGCTCCGCACCGCGTCGAGGGTAAACGGCAGGAGAAGGCGCGGCGCAAACTCGATGATGGAGCCGTCGGGCGTGGGCAGGGTGAGGAGGAGAAGAATGTTGGCGGCGACTGGGTACCACTTCTCGGCGCGGGCCCACTTGACCTGGACAGCCTTGAGGCCGTCGGTCTTGTCGCGGCGGATGTAGTTGAGCTCCTCCTCCACAAAGCGGAGGTAGTCGTAGACGTCGACGCGGCCGTGAAAGAGCTCGGCCCAGAGCTCCCACCGCGAGCGCTCGGTCGTGGCGAGGTCGTCCATGACCCGGACGGCGACGCCGCGGACAGTTGTCGGCAGCGCCACGCACCCGTTGCCCACCAGCCAGTCGGCGAGGTACTGCAGGGCCTGGAAGATGTTGTACCGGACTTCGGCCTCGTCTGAGTTGGCCACAACGTTGGAGACGCCGACGTCGGCGGCAAGGAGGGCGCGCGGGTACTTGGGGTCGTCCACCGCGAGGCCGTCGATGTCCGGCCCGGCCACAAAGGCCTCCAGCTCGGCAGCCGACGCCGGGTCCAGGATGAGGGCCGAGATGAGGGCGGGGAGCGCGTCGCTCCGCCACGCCTGGACAATGGCGATGCCGATGCGGACAAAGTCGGGATGGGCGACCCAGAAGCCGTCGAGCCCGCGCTTGAGCTGGGTCACCACGTCGCGGACGTAGCCGATGAGGGTAACCTGCATGGACGGATCGGCCAGCTCGCGCGACGACGGGAGAATGCCGTACATGCCGCCGATCTTGAGCCCGCCGCGAGCACCGACGACGTCGGCGAGCATGACGTGCGACTCCTTGATGTGCTTGATGACAATGTCCGGGTCGGCCTTGACCGGGATGGAGTACTGCGGGTCGTGGGCAAAGAGGCGCGCCGTCGACGCGAGGTAGTCGTGCCAGCCGAGCGAGGCGCCGGCAAAGTACGGGTACAGCGCATCCATCATCTCGTGGACGCGGAAGACCGCCCGCGGGTTCTCCAGGACGAGGATGACGCGGATGGTGCCCGGAACGTAGTCGGGCGCCACGCCGAGGGCCACAATGGCCTCCTCCACCGCGCCGATGAGCAGAGAGAGGTACGCGGCCTCTTCCTCATTCTCCAGCTTGGGCACGTAAAAGGTGAGCGCCTCGGGCCGGTGCGCGTTGGCCACCACGTGCGCCACCAGGTCGAGCATGTGCAACGGGACCGTGTCACGGCCACCGGCAGCCGCCTCGTCAGCAATGGTCACGGCGAGGCACGGCAGGTCCAGCCCCGGGATGCGCTTGATGGGCAGCGAGGGGAAGACGCCCGCAGCCGGCTCGGCCGGCGCGATGGCGTAGTGCTTGCCCGACGCCGCGTCGGTCGTCTCCAGGCTGCCGTCAAAGCACGCATTGAGGTGGTGCGCCGCGGCGGCAAGGTCGCCAAAGAGCGGCGTCTTGGAGTCTTCGTCGTCGGCGCCCCACTTGGGGACCATGCCCGCGGCGGCGACGAGCTCGGCCACCAGCGCCGGCTCGCCCGGCAGCTTGCGCCCGGCGGCGTTCATGGCGTTGACGGCGAGCTTGGCCGAGTCCGGCGGGCCGAAGAGCGTCACGTGGAAGCCGCGCAGATGCGGCGGGAGCGGAGCCACCGGCGCCCCGCCGCCCGTCCGCCAGCCCTCGCCCAGCGGGCCGAGCGGCGTCCGCCCGCATGCGCCCACCCCGAGGACCGAGAGGTACCCGTCGTCGCCCACGCTCAGCCCGCGCGCCGCGTTCTCCGCCGCCGCCGCCCGCGTCCACCGGTCGATTGCCGCCCGGTCGCCCGCCCGCGCCGCGAGCACCGCCCGGAGCGCGCCTGCCGCCGCCTCATACACCCGCGTCAGCACCTTGCCCGTCGTGACGTTGACCAGCGCCGCCACCGCCGACGAGCCGGCCGCCTTGCCGCCGGCCGGCTCCGTGTACGCCAGCCGGTCGCTGCCCGGCCACGGTGTGTGCGGCTGCGCCTGGAGCGTTGCGCCCGAGACAAACGGCGTGTGGAAGTTCATGTGCGTGTGCGTGTGCGTCGTGCGTGTGCGTCGTGCGTGTGAGGGAGAGGGGGAGAGAGGGGGTGCCGGTCACGTGGTCTGCTCAACGGCGTCTGATGGTTGGTGGCGGGTCGAATTTCGGCTGCTGACTGTGATGGGCAGCCGCCGGGCCGCGGTGGGTGGGGCCGATGGCTAGCTTGCGCTGTAGCAGGATGGGGAGGGTGAGAAGCGAGAGGCTAGCGTTGCTGTGGGCAGCTGGTGAGTGTAGCGGGTGCGTAGGGCGGCAAGAGGCCTTGCGAGGATGACAAGAAAGGTTCGAGAAAGGAGAAAGAAATTTTTCTCCCGAGACTTCGATTTGCAATTACAATCTCAACTATATATTGATATAAATCTAGTCTCAAAAAAATTATCATTATTTGATTGATGAATGCATATTTAAATTGATGACAATATATATATATATATATATATATTGAATATATTTAATCATTTTGGGCTCATTTTTGCAATATTTTTGCGTCTCATCTATCCTGCTCTCACCTTTTACCTGCTCGCACAACCGGCGTCGGCAGCGTCGGTCGGCTGGAGGGGGCGCTTTTCCACGATGTCTGCAACGTTGTTCTCATTGCGAAGGAGGGCGCGCGCGTTGACCTCACCAAGGTGCTGTCGACGAAGGGCTTTGTCGGGCCACTGCACTGCCAGCGGCTGGTGGCGGTGGGGGTGATGCTGCCGCGGTCGAGTTTGTCTCGCGCATGTACCGCGCCTTTGACTCGAGCGGGGAGTCCGGATAGCGCTTTGCCTCTGCGCTGACACAGGTTCTGAAGGCTGAGCCCGCCGACTCTCCACTGCGCCCGTTCATTTGCGTGGTCTGATCGCTCAAGTACGCGTGATATCCGTGCCAACTGGCACGCAGCAGCTGGCTGGCATGCACGGCCAGTGCGTTAATTATGAGAAGCCTAAGAGAGGCGTCGAGCCAGAGTGTTCAGCATCTCCAACGCTGGGCGCCACAACTTGAGAGCAGTCTGCCTGTTGAATCGGACGGCCTTCGACCAGCCGATGCTCTCGGTCAACAACTCGTCGTAGTCGAAATTCTCCCGCATGAACTTCATCATGGCCCGGTCGTTTAGAGGCAGGGATCGTCTGCAATGTTTGGCAGCGAGCCCGACGCGCGACGAAACGTCACCGACACTGCCTTGGGCTCGCCATGCACCCGCCGGACTTCGGCTGTATGGACGACCAGCCGCGCTGTGACCACATGCGGCGTGCGGAAGTGCTCCGATCGTAGATGAACGGTCAGCGCCACGCCCACACTCGCCGTCAAGGCCGGTCGGCTTGGCCTGACTCGACACCGCGCCAGCGGTGTCGACTGCGAACACGCACCGCGGACAGCGCTCGAATCGGGCGTCGGTGTAGTGCGTCGCTGCTCGGCTCAGCACCACTGCCTCGTGCGACTTGGCATGGAGCTTGATCTGCAGCGCATCATGCTCGGCCACGAGCGCATCATACGCTCGAGCTTACGGTACAGCTCGCGATGCGATGCCTCACCCACGCGTCCTCCGTCACTCCCCTCGCCAGCACCCACAGGCTCGCCATCGCCAAGCACCGCGAGGCTCGACATGATCGACGCCTCCAGTTCGGCGCGCGGATCTCCTGCCGCGACGTGTTTACCTCACTAGCCACCAACACGTCGAGAAGGCGCCGTGTCCTTGCGCCCCAGCACGTGCTGCCATGGGTGCAGACTACACCGCATCACCGGTGACCACCAGTTGCTCGCGCAACTCGGGCGCGCTCGTGCGCTGCGTCCATCTTGTTGAGCGCATCTTGGAGCTGCTGGAACAGCTCGCCGTTGCGTGTCCGCATCTGCGACAAGTCGCGCTCGATGGCGTCGATGTCGCGAAGCGGCGAAAGACAGCCCCGTGCCGATCCGGACCGACTCTAGACGGACACACCCGCACACGACGACCAGCAGCTCGCCACAGACTCGGCCACTTGATGCGACTCCGCAAAGGATAAAACACACTCCTACTCGGCCGGCAGTGTGGCCTGCTCATGCTCGTCGACAGCCTCGCACGCCGTGATTGGCTCCCCCCCCCCCCCCCCCCCCCACGTGGTCACAATCTGTCAACAAACGTTTTTTTCCCTGCCAACTGTTCTGTCCGTCGCTGCTCATCCGCTCGTTCCACCTGCGGCATTGGGTGAGAGTGAGGCGGGGCGGGACGGAGCACCCGACGCCATGCCCTCATCATGCGTATACAGAGGCGGTCCCCGACGACCATGGCCCGCCATGGCGCTTGCGGTAGCGCTCCTCCTCGTCGCCCTCGGCCCCTCCCCTGCCACCGGTGCCACCCGCCGTATCGCCTTTGGCACCATCGCCGGGCCGTCGGCCACCGCTGCCATCGGCCCGCCGCTCGCCGCTGGCCCGCACACCGCCGACCTGTGCGCCACGGCTGTGGCCCTCGCCGTGTCCTTCCCGGCCGGACTCACGACATTGACTGGTCACCGCTGGTTCCACCCGGACTCGGCCCTCACTCTGGCTGCCGTCAACGCCTCGGCCGCCGTCGGCCTCTCCGTCACTGCCGCCGCCTCCGCCCCGCTGCCGCCCTGGACCGCCGCCGCCGATCCGTGGCTCTGGACGCCCGCCGGCCCGCCGCACAACGTCTCGCTGCCGCTGACGGCTGACGGCGCCGCCGCCGTGTCTCTCTCCGGCGCGGCAGTGCAGGATCTGCTGGGCGATGGCGACACGAACGCGCCCGGCGGGCTACAGGCTGGGCTGGTGATCGTGCTGCGCGCCGACTGCGCGCCCGGCGATCATGCCGTCGTCACTCTCGACCCGCTGCCTGTCCTGCGGGTCGCCTACTACGAGGTGTGCCCAAAGCTGGCACTGGCTGGTGGCGCGATCGCCCAAAATCCGCTGACGGGTGCGGCGCTCGCGGCTGCTGGCGATAGCCTCGACCTGGTGTGCGAGCCGGGCCAAGCACTGGATGGGCCCGATGGCCCAGGCAGCGGCCCGGACCAGATCTCTGTCACCTGCACATCCACTGGCGAGTATGTGCCTCAACCGCCTGAGGCCTGTGCGCCGGCGCCGTGTCCGCCACACTCGAGCCGTGACGAGTGCGGCGTGTGCGCCGGTGCCGGCACGGGACGCGTTGCCAACGCCGACCTCGACGCGTGCGGCGTGTGCTTTGGCGGCCACGCCGCACTCGATGATTGTGGCGTGTGCTTTGGCGGCAATGCGGCCAAGGATGCGTGCGGCGTGTGCTTTGGTGATGGCTCGGCGTGTGCTGGATGCGACGGCGTGCCACACTCGAGCGCGCGCCGCGATGTTTGTGGCGTGTGCGGTGGCGATGGGACAGGGTGTGCCGGATGTGACGGTGTGCCGACTCCGCTTGGTGGTGCTATCTACGACGGGTGCGGGGTGTGCGGCGGACACTCGGGCATCGGCTCGTGCATCTCGTCATGCGCCGCGCCCGGCGAGCCGCATGCGATCTACGACTGCGCCGGCATCTGCGGCGGGAGCGCGTTCCTCGACGAGTGCGGGACGTGCGTCAGCGGGACGACCGGCCTGGCACCGGGCGTCTTTCGCGACGAGTGCGGGATTTGCTTTGGCGGCGGCGCAGCCAAGGACACTTGCGGGGTGTGCCATGGTGGCGACCGCAACCGTGACTCTTGCGGAGTGTGCTTTGGTCGCGACGCAGCCCGCGATGAGTGCGGCCGGTGCTGGGCCAACGGCGCGACCAAGGACCAGTGTGGCGTGTGCGAGGGGAACTCGACATCGTGTGCGGGATGCGACATGGTGCCGGACTCGGGCATGGTGGTTGATGTCTGTGGGGTGTGCGGCGGCGACGATGGGTGTGTGCCGAGCGCCGCCCCGCAACGCAGCAGCAGCACAATCTCTGGCGCGTTGGCCACCACCATGGCTGTTAGCACCTTTGCTTGTGCTTGCCTCATCACTGCCACCGTCACCGTCATCTTCCTCTCCCGGTCGCGGGCCAAGACAGCAACTGACCCGACCTCGTCCGAGATGTGGGAGATGCGCATGACCAATGCACCTGTTGGCCGGGTTGTAGTCATGGTCACCGACGTCGACGGCTCACCGGCGCTCTGGGAGGAGTTGCCGGGCGAGATGGAGGTTGCCATGCAGCTGCATGACTCGTGTATCCGGGAGATTGTAGCCCAGGCCGGCGGGTACGAGACCAACTCGGACGGTGACTCGTTTGTCTTTGTCTTTCCTCTTTCTGCTGCCTCGGACGTCGTCGCGGCCTCGGTCCTCATCCAAGACGCACTTGTCAAGCTCGATTGGCCGCGGCCCATTCTCACCCACGACGTCTGCCCGTCGCAGCTCCGCCGTTCCCGCAACTCGTCGTCGTACGGTTTGCTGCAGTATGTGTGGCGTGGACTCCGGGTCCGCATTGGTCTCCACGCCTGCTCGCCGATGCACACCATCGACGAGGACACACATCACATCCACTACATTGGCGACTGCATGCACCATGCTGATGCCATCGCCATGGCTGCCGAGCCCGGTCAGATTGTTATGTCCAGCGAGATGCGCGCGGCGCTGCCGACGGTTCTCCCACCGGGCCTTATCGCATCATGGATCTCGTCGTTCTCGTTTATCGAGGCCGACGATGTCAAGTTTGACATCTTCTCGCTCGTCTCGCTCTCATCGGTCACATCCGAGCGGTACTACGGGAGCTCGGCGTCCGAGCTCCCAACTCAGACCGAGGAGTATCCATCGACCTTTGTGGCGTCGGGCGTCGCCGTCACTGTCACCACCCACGATGACGACGTCGGAGGCGACGTCTCGCACGCCTCGCGCACGTGTCCAGGGCCCGATGGCCTGTATACCTCGAGCGAGAAGCCACGATGTGGTGCAGGTGCCAGCTCATCGACGCACGAACCGCTGGGCAAGTCAAGCCAGTCTTTGTTAACGTCATCATCGTCGTTGTCGTTATCGTCGTCGTCGTCGTCGACCATGTTTGAGTCGTCACAGGTTGGTGGGTGGTACCACCAGTCGCTGTCCCACTGCGATTCGGCCAAGTCCAACGAAGAGCGACTGAACTCGACGATGGCGGATCTGGAGACACCTCCGTCCCTCCGCGAACCGCCGTCACTCGGATCGCCCGAGTGGCTGGCGACAAAGAAGACGACACAGCTATGGGGCGAGCCACGTGTGTGCTCCGAGTCATCCGACTCGTTCTCGGATGCATACAGTACGTCGGTGATCCGGTCGCATGGTGTGGAGTCATTGCCGTCTTTCTCAGGAACGTCGGAAACTCGCAAGGTGTCGCTGCAGCGGCTTGTGCTGGAGCGAACGAAGCAGAGGATCACGACGGCGCAGAGAGCACGGGCGGCACAGCGATCCCGGCGGCGCAAGCGCCTGCGCCGAACTTCGTCAACAGGGCGGCTTGGTGACGTGCTCGAAGAGGTTGCCCTCGACACTTTGGTTCAAACCTCGCGCACCGGGAGCTCGCCACCGCAGAAGCCAGCGCTCCTAGGTCAGTTTGGCTCGGACGCGTCGTCTGTGTCGTCGCTCTCGCAGACCTCATCGATGTACTCTGTTAGCCGGCCTCCGACGCTCATGTACCGCACCACCTCGATTGCCGACCGCATTGCCCGCCACGTGTCACAGCGCGATGGAGGCATCCACTCGGCCACGGTCCGCAGCACTTCCTCGAACGCACCCCTCACCCAGGCCGCTAAGCCAAAGCTCATCGCGCCGCCCATACGATCGCCTGTTTCAATTGCCATAGCGGTACTATGCCGGACTCTCGTGAGCGCCGACATGGGCACATAGCTAGCTGATGGCGTTGCAGGCTGTGCTTTACTCGTGATAGCTGTGATAGCTTGGCCATGCGCGTCTTTGAGGAGCCAACGCGTGCCTGTCGCGTCGGCGCCACCGAAAACACTCGCCTGTGACAAACCTGCTGTGGCTGTTGCTGTGGTCTGCCGCAGGGCTCGAGAGGCACCCATCGCGACTACACCTATCGGAGACATCGACATACACTTTCGTTGATGTCGCAGTAGCCACTGTTGCTGCTGCTGCTGCTGCTGATGATGATGATGCTGATGATGATGCTGCTGCTGATGATGATGATGACGATGATGATGATGATAATAATGATGATGATGATGCTGCTGCCCGCACGACGAACGACGATGACAGGCCGAGCAACTGCGGGACAAACAGCAGCGATGGCGAAGTGGGGGGAGGGGGGGGAGCACTCGACCATGGGGAAGAAGCCCATGACCCATGCCCATGCCCATGCCCATGCCCACCCCCACCCCCATGCCCACCCCCACTCCCACCCACGCCCACACATGGCCATGGCAGCCGTACCGGTGCTGGCCATGGCACCCGTGCCGGTAATGCAGACTGCCTGTACGCCCGCCGGCCGGCGTGGCCACCGCCTGCGGGACCGAGCCGGTGAGCAGGAAGGCGACCTGGCGGCGTCTCGCCGTGTTGGCAGTCGGCGGCGGCGGGTCGGACGGGCAGATGGGGCGGGACGGAGGCCGTGGGCGCACTGGCCGCATCGGACGTGCAAGGCGGAGGGGACGCAGCGGTCGCGGCTGTCGCAGGCGTGGCATCGGGCGATGTGGACGGACGGGGTGGACGGGGGGGTGGACGGGGTGGACGGGGTGGATAGGCCGAGTCGGACGGATGGGACGCATCGGACGGATGGGACGCATCGGACGGATGGGACGCATCGGACGGATGGGACGCATCGGACGGATGGGACGCATCGGACGGATGGGACGCATCGGACGGATGGGACGCATCGGACGGATGGGACGCATCGGACGGATGGGACGCATCGGACGGATGGGACGCATCGGACGGATGGGACGCATCGGACGCATCGGACGGGCCAGACGGGCCGACCAGGTCGAACGAGTGGGGTGCGTGACGGCAGGGAGACCAGCCACACCAGGCGCCCGACCCAATGCGGCCCGGACGAGGTACGGCTGGTGGGAACAGGAACGGATATGGCCGCCACAACAGTAGGTTCGACTACCGCCACACTCTCCTCGCCGCCCTCCTCGCCATCATCCTCGCTCTTCCCATCGCCCACGCCTACCAGATCCACACCGCAGCCGCAGCCGTCCCAGGCCCGGCATACACAGCATGCATGCCAACCGATGGCATCGTCCGCCCAGGGCCCACAGCAGGATTTGCCCTTGGCGGCGGCTCCATCTGCGGAGTCTCCTTCGTCTTTACTCCGCCGCTTCCGCATAATGCGTGGATCTCGCCGCTCTCCTCGCTCAGCTTCGCCGCTGCCAACAGGTCCGCTGGCGCTGGTGCTCCGTCGATCCTTCGCCTCGCCGCAGTTGCCGCTCCGGGAACCGCCCGCGCCGGTCCATTCTCCGCCCCCTATTGGACTACTCCGCGCGCCCTCGCGGCTATCGTGGACGGCTCGGTGGCTGATGCTGTGCTGACACCCAACCTACCGGGTGCCCCACTCCTCGTCACCGGCCAGGCTTTGTCATCGGTCCTCTCTGCTGCTTGGGAGTCAGACGACGGCGGCTCTGCCACCAGCCACCTGATCATCGCCTGGGCCGATGCCACCGACACCGCCGCCCCGCTGCCGCGTCCGATGGCGGACAACACCCCTTCACCGCAAACTGACGACGGCGCTCGTCGGATTTGGCTGGCCGCAGACCCCCTGCCGGTCCTCCGAATCGTGTACTACGTCACCTGCGGTACCTTTAGCGCCACACACGCTACCATCGAGCCGCATCCCGCCACAGAGACAGCAGTGGCTCCCGTCGGAGAAGGACTTGTCGTCCGATGCTCCGACGGCGCCACAATGTCCAATGGCGCGCGCGAGGTTGTCGTCCTCTGTACCTCATCAGGCTCGTACGATCCGCCCACAGCGGACTGCACCATCGACGCTCCCACGCCCACAGGCTCGGAGTCTAGTTGGGCCTCCTCCTCCCACATGGCTCTCTATATCGCCATCCCGCTGATCGCTGCCGCTTGCATCGCTGGACTTGGGCTTGCCTGGTACGCTTGCCGCCGCCGCCGCCGCCGCGCCAAGACCGCCGTCGCGCACCGCCGTCGACGCAACGCTGCCGTGGCTCCCAGCGGCGAGTTGGATGCCGAAAGCGCGCCACTTGCCGCCGCCACGCCGCCGTCTCCCAAGATTCCGACCATTCTGGGCGATGGCGAGAACGGATCCGCCGCGACGTCGGACAAGGCTGTAGTGGTCATGGTCATCGAGGTGGCGCGCCTGCGGCGGCTGCGAGCTCTCTACCCGGAGGCAACCGGCGAAGCGGTCAAGCTCTACCAGGCCTGCGTACGCGCCACCATGGCCCAGCACGGCGGCCTGGAGTCGATCTCGGTCTTTGACGACGCTTTTGTCTTTGTCTTTCCCGGCAATGCTGGCCTTCACGCCATCCGTGCCGGCATCATCGTCCAAGACATGCTACTTAGCGTTGTATGGCCCAAGAGCCTTCTCGCCGCCCCCGAGTGCGCCACCGTCATGGGCCGCGACACCAGCGAGCAGTTTGGCCGCCTCCGCCCGATCTGGCGCGGCCTGCGCATCCGCATGAGCGTGCACCATGGCGAGCCCGAGGTCACTCTCGCGCCGGCTCGAAGCAGCCAGTCTACACAGGCGCATGCATGACCCGCGCACATGCCATCGCCCACCGCTCGCGCGGCGGACACGTCATCATCTCCGCCACCCTCCGCTCCGTCCTCCCCTTTGATCTCCCGGACCACCTCACCGCCCACCCAGTCGGGCGCATCCTCGACCCCATCGACAAGAAGCACACCGTCGAGATGTTTGTGGTCGTCGCCAAGTCCTCGGTCACCGCCCTTCGCTGGGCCACCATCGCCGCCCGCATGACGTCGACCTGGATCTCCGCCACAGACATCACCGACGAGGGCGCGACAACCGAGGCCGGCACAGACGCGCAACCCGCCACTGCAATTGGCCATCACAAGAAGAAGCACGCCTGCGGCGACTTTAACCGCTCGCTCGTCCACTACCACTCGGACGAGGAGATGAACGAGGTCGACGGCCCCGGGCCTGGCCCAGCCTCTGGCACGCAGCCCGTTGACGGCGCCGCCCGTATCGTCGGTCGGCCCGCTGCCGGTCCCACCGATCTCCCGACTCGTGCCATCTCCGCCTCGCGCATCCCGCATGGCTACAACGGAATCCGCTCGGCCATCGCCCAGATCGCCGCGCTTCCTTCAACCTCATCGGGCGCCTCGTCGGGCGTCATCTCGTGGGTTGTCACCCCACGAGTCGCCGCCTCGGCCTCAAACTACGACTCAGCCAACTCGTCGCTCACCCGCAAGGGCTCGCTTGACTCGACCACCGCCGGCACGCGCAACTCGTCGGCCGCCTCTCTAGCCCACCGCGCATCCCCGCGCCGCCCGCCCGCCGCCGAACAGTCTATCCATCTTCACGCTTCGGGCTTCACTCCGCGCGGCCGCCCGCGCATCTTGCGCCTTGTGCCTGCTCCAGATCCGGAGCCAGCGTCTTCACCTGTGCCTGCACCAGAGCCTGCGCCAGAGCCAGAGCCAGAGCCGGAGTCAGCGTCTTTGCCTGTGTCTGCACCAGAGTCTGTGCCTGTGTCTGCACCAGAGTCTGTACCTGTGTCTGCACCAGAGTCTGCGCCTGAGCTTGAGCCCGAGTCTGTGCCATCAGCAGCAGCCGCACCCGCCGCACTGTCGCCGCCTTCCCAGCCGTCCCTCACTGTGGCCGGCCATCCTACCTCATCTCTCGACTCGCCGCTTACGACTGCTCCTACAATCGCCGTGGAGATCGCAGCCGGCTCAAACTCGGCCTCCATGTCCTCCGTCGACGATCTCGCTGTAGTTGACCGACCGCCGGTGGTAGGCCCACGTCCCCGTGCCACATCAACGAGTTGTGGCAACGGCGATGGCGGTGGCGACGGCGATAGCAATGGCCTCGAGTCTGGCAACAACACCACCACCCAGTTCTCCAACATTGTCCTCTCGTCGCCCGCCTGCGAGCACGCCCCTGATGACGCGCTCGCCTCGTGTACTTCCTCCCTCACGGTGCCGTACTCCAGTCCCACCACCATCTACGACACCGAGCCCAGCCTGAGAGTCCAGGACGACAACGCCTTCATCTTCGATCTTCAGTCGTCGGTCCCGCACATACCGCCCGACCTGCTCGGCACCTCGATGGTCGTCGGCACCGATCCCAGCGCTGCCCCGCACACGCCCAACCGCGCCGCCGTGCCGCCGCATCCCCAAGCCGGCTCGGCCTCGACCTCGACCTCGACCTCAACCTCCTCCTCCACCTCCTCCTCCTCATTGTCATCGTCGACGTCGTCGTCCTCTTCCTCCTCCTCGGCATCGTCGTCGCCGTCGTCGCAGGTTGCCATCTAGCGCCCGCCTCGTCCCCGTTTACCCAATAAACTACTAGCCAACGTAGGGCGGTAGGCTTGCTACGTCCGGCTGCCCTTGTCGTCAAAGGCAGCGAGAAAGGCGCCGGCGGCGCGGAGCAGATCGGCGTCGGCCTCGACGTCCTTGAGCTCGGTGGAGACAAGGGCGATGAGCGTCTTCTGCCGCTCTGTCGCCGGCGGTGGCGCGGTGCGGACAAAGTCGAGGTACAGCCCGTGGCCAGCAAGGCTGACGAGGCCAGCCACAAGCACGGCGACGGCGACCGTGAGCACGCCGTCCGACGCCTTTGACGCCCGCTCGGCGTACGCCGCTGCTCCCAGCAGAACCGCCACAAGCACAACGAGCGCCACCCGAAGCGCTATTGCGTTGTGCCGCGGAACGTAGAGCGGGCGCACTGCGGCGAGACAGAGCCCGCCGGCAAAGACCACTCCGCCCACCACGCTGAGCATGGCCAGCGGGTGGACGGCGAGGGCGGCGACGCCGATCGCGAGGACCATCCGTGCCGTCAGCCCGCCCACCACCGCCCGCACCACATACGCCCGCCGGAACGCCGCCGCCTGCCGGCGTGCCAGCTCGCTTGCCTGCCCGCTTCCGCAAGCCGCCACCGCGGCTGCCAGCCGACCGGCGACGACGACGTAGGCAAGGGCGGGAGCGGTGACGATGGCGGCAAAGACGGCGGCGGCGGTCCAGCCGGCGGTGAAGCACGCCACGCCGGGCTCGTCCGCCACCACGTGGCTGCCGTCGGCGAGTGGGAGACAGACAAAGACGGCGGCCGCCTGGCGGAGGAGTGGGATGAGGAGGGCAGGCGCGACGGCGCCAGCCACTCGGCGCCCGCCAGCGGCTGCGCCAGTGCCAGCAGCGTACCCGGCTGCTGCGCCGCCCGCCACAGCCCCGCTCGCTACCACCAGCGGGACCGCCATCAGCGAGACAAGGTAGCCCGGCGAGGCGCCGCCAACCACGCACTGCCAGGCAAGGCCAATCAGGTCGCTGTTGCCCGCCGCCGCCAGCGCCGTCAGCATCGTCTGCGCGCCCGTCGGCCACGCTAGCCGCGCCCGCGCCAACAGCGCCACCGCTTGCACGCCGACCACTACGGCGCCGACCGCCGTGGCCGGGACCTCGCGCCTGGCGACCACGGCGCCTGTCGCAGCGGCGGCGGCCAGCAGCGCAACGACCACGATCAGTGGGAGAGCTGGCGCCCACGGCGGGCAGCGGGCGCACTCGCCGTCGGGCGCGGTGTAGTGGGCGGGCGCGCAGGTGTTGCAGAGAAAGCCCGAGGCGGTGGGCGCGCACGGGACGGTGGCCGAGCCGCCGGGGCAGGCGCGCGGGCGGCGGCAGCGGAGAAAGACGTGGACGGCGGACGGGTGCGGGTAGAAGCCGGCGGCCGGGAGCGGGGCGGCCAGGCCCGAGGCGCAGCGGCCGCCGGGCGGGCACGGGCTGCAGCCGGCAGCAGCCGGCTTGCCCGGTGGCGCCCAGAAGCCAGCCTCGCACACGCATGACCCGTTCGAGCCGCCGGCCAGCAGCATGTGGTCCGGGCAGGCCGGGACGAGGGCGCAGGCCTCGGTCGACGTCCCGGGCTTGGTCTCGCCCGGCCGGCACGGCTCGCACACCAGCACCGCCGACGCTGCCGACGCCGAGCCAAAGCCGGGCGGGCAGAGGCCGACGGCGAGGTCGACCGCAGGCGGAGCGTGGAGCAGCGGGCGGATGGGCAGCGGCGGGAGGTGGCCGATGAGGACGACCGCCGCCGTCCGCCCTGCAAACGGCGCCCCGCCGTCGAGCGCCACCCCCACCGCCGACATGTCGTACCCGGCCGTGCTCGCCGCCACCACCGCGTCGTTGCGGAGGAGCAGGCCAGTGTCGTCGACGAGGGCGAGCTCGAGCTCGACCCGCGAGTCGACGCACGGCGTGCCAAAGGCGTCGACGAGGACGGCCACGCCGCGGCCGAGCGGAACGGCCGAGCCGACCGCCGCCGGCGGGACATCGGCCCACGCCATGCCCACCGGCGGTGAGGCCCATCCAGAGCCGTACGGCTGCGCCTCTGCTGACGGCGTGCCGGTGAGCGTGCCCAGGGCGCTTGCCAGCACGCCACCGCCGGCGACGGCCGACGGCAGCGCGTTGCCGTCGCAGAAGAACCCGACGCCGCCGGCCAGCACCGCCGACGTGCCTGTCACCACCGGCGGCGCCGTCGTGCTCTCGTCGATGAGGTCAAGCTGGCAGACAAAGAAGCCGCCGCCGATGGTGGCCGACTCGGCGCCGTCGATGACCAGCCCATCGCGGATGCGGACCGTGCTCAGCAACGGCGGCGGCAGCGGCAGCGCCGTCGGACGCCACACCCCGGCGGCCATGGCGGCAACGGCTGGCCCGGCGTCGCTTGCGAATGCCTGCCCGCTGATAAAGATGGCGCCGCCTGCGCCACCGGCCGACGCCGCCGTCACGGTCACGCCGGCCAGGACCGAGTCGACGACGGCGTCGTCTGACACAGGCTTGAGCATCATGGCACCGCCGCTCCCGTCGGTCACGCACCGGTCAAAGACGGAGTCGGTCACGACCGTGGTCGTCATCGACATCACGCACCCGCCGCTGTACCCGGCGCTGCTGCGGCTGAGCGTCGAGCCAGTGATGACCAGTGGCAACTCGTTGCCGGAGAGCCGCTGGAAGATGGCCCCGCCTGCCACCTCAGCCGAGCACCCGGTGATGGTCGAGTCGGTGACGGTGATAGCGGTGAGGATGGCTCCGATGCCGCCGCCGCTGGCGGCCGTGCAGTTGGCGATGGTGCTGCCGTTGACAGCCACGACGGCGCCGATGGATGCGAGTTCGACCGGCACGCCGATGCCGCCGCCAGTATTGTCTGCCGACGAGCCGAAGATGGCCGAGTCGGTCATGGTGAGGGTGCCCGAGACGGCGACCGCCCCGCCGTCGCTTCCCGATGAGCAGGCGACAAAGCGGGAGGCGGTGATGGTCGCTTCCGCTCCGCTGGCCACATACACCGCGCCGCCAAAGCCTCTTGCCGACGCCAAGGTGATATTGGAGCCGGTGATGGTGGCGGCGGCGCCGGCCAGGACGGCCACTGCGCCACCGGTGGTGTTCGAGTACGTCTCCTCGATGGAGGTGTCCACGAGGACGAGCTCGCTTGCGCTCCCGCTGGCGAGCAGCGGTGCGCCGGGGACGGACACGTCGACGCCTGCGCCGGGCGGCGAGGCCAGGCCGCGGACGACCAGGCCACGGAGCGTGAGCGAGCCGCCGCCCGAGACGGCAAAGAGCGGGCCGGGGTGGGCCGAGCAGTCGATGGTGACCGAGCCGGGCGTACCTGCCGGTGCGTAGGTCACCGTCGTGGCCTCCACGCTGATGTGGGTCGACGGGCAGCCGGTGTACTTGCCCGGCGGGAGGAGGATGGTCGTCGGCGTGCAGCGTGAGACGCGCGTCAGTGGCGTGATGAAGCACTCGGTGATGGTAAAGGAGAGGCAGTCGGCGACAAGTGTGACGCCGGCGGCCGGCGCCAGGCCGCCGGGTTGCCACGCCAGCGCGTGGATGGCATTGCCCGTGTTGCTGAACACCAGGTCGGCCGCCCCGTCGCCGCTGACGTCGAGCAGAGTGGCGCTGACCGGGGAGTGGGTCGAGGCATAGCTGACGGTGACGGACGGGAGGAAGACGCCCGGCGCGAGCTGGTACGCTGTGATGACCTCGGTGGCGAGAGCGGCGACGAGGTCGACGAGGCCGTTGCCGGAGATGTCTGCCACGACGGCGGCGGCGACCCCGGTCGTTGCCTCGACGGGCGTAATGTCAAAGTACGCGCCGCCGTTGCGGGAGAAGCAGATGTGGAGCCGGTCGGTGGAGTAGACGACGTCGGCGGCGCCGTCGTTGTCGACGTCGACAACGACAACGTTGCTGATGACGGCGGTACCGATGACCATGGGCTTGAGGACGCTGCGGAAGGTGGCGTTGCCGAGGCCTTCGATGAGGTGGATGAAATAGGAGCCGCTGTTGAGGACGACGAGGTCGGTGATGCCGTCGGCGGTGACGTCGTCGGCAAAGACGGCGGCGATTGGATGCAGCGCCGCGACGTCGATGGTCGAGGTGAGGACAAAGGAGTCGCCCGACACGCCATGGGCCACGGCGAGATGGTCGCGGGGCGCGGGACTCGGGGGGCCCGTCATGGTGGTGACCATGTCGGTGATGCCGTCGCCGCTAAAGTCGCCGACAACAACCGAGATGCCGTTGACGTCGACAAGCGGCAGGGCGTACGAGGCGGAGATCAAGTTCGTGCCCGGGATGGAGACCAGCGAGGTGACAGCCCGGACTGCGCCCTCATTGTTGCTCGGCACAAAAAAGTCGGACCGGCCGTCGGCGTTGATGTCGGCGGTGGCAAAGACCGTGGGCCCCATCGAGCTTCCGGGAGTAAACACGGCGTCCGCCGGGTGGAAGAGGAGCTGGCCGCTGACAAAGTACGAGCGGTAGACGGCAAAGACGCCCGGGGCGGCGATGGCGGTCAGGTCGGGATGCCCGTCATTGTCGTAGTTGGCCGGAGTGAGGCCCTTGGGCGGAAAGGTGCCAGCGGGGGAGGCGACGACGGTGACACCGGTGCTCCACGAGCCGCGGAGGGCAATGCCCGAGGTATACTCGACGGTAGAGGCTGTGGTCACGATGACGTCGGCCACGCCATCGTCGTCAACATCGGCCACCAGCACCGACGACGGCGATGACGACGCGACAGAGACGATGGGCGGGGCGAGTTCAAAGGCCGGCGCGCCGTCGACAGGCGGCTTGCCGCGGAGGACCTTGACGGTGCTGGCTTGCACGTCGAGGAGGACCAGGTCGAGGTAGGTGGCCGACGAGGCGTGGGCGGCCACAAAGGCAACGTCCGTGCCGAGAGGCGTGAGCGTGTTGAATAGTTGCGGCGAGGGGGCGGCGGCGGCGAAGACGACGATGTATCCGGCAGTTGGGGTGTTGCCACAGACGGCGACGTCGAGCATGCCGTCACCGGTAAAGTCGGCGACGACCATGGCGTTGATGACACTACTAATGACATTGGGCGGTGCGACGACCGTGGCGTTTGCCAGCGAGCGGGCGCTGCGGCCGGGAGCGAGGTCTGTGACGACCGCAACGAGGTCGCTTGTGGCAAAAACGGCGTCCGGCGCGCCGACTCTGTCCCAATCGACGACGTCGAGAGCGATGATGCCGTCGCCCGAGTCAGCGACGAGCGAGAGGGAGAACGAGCCAGTTGACGCGTTGTTGTACGCGAGGTAGAGGTGACGGGCGGTGGCGATAACAAGGTCATGACGTCCATCATGATCGACATCTGTCACGGCCAACTTGACAAGATTTCCTGTCGCGGGGAGTACCGGGACAAATACCACACTCGGAGCACTCCACGAGCTCCCGCCGGCCGAGTTGATGACGAGGAAGACATGGCTCTGCGTGGCGTAGATGACGTCATCGTCGCCGTCGCCGTCCACATCGAGCGTCTCTGCGTCGACAATGGGCGTGGCGGGCGGCGGCGATGGCGGGACGATGGCGGCAGGCGGCGCAAACGATCCGTTGCCGGCCCATGCCAACCACTCGATGCCAGTGGCACCAAACACAAGTAAGTCACGTGACTTACCGGCCTCGGCCACCGCTGCCTCCATTACCCTCCCTCCGCTACCGCTCGCGTGGCTCCAGCTCCGTGTCGCCTTACTCGCCGGAGCGCTTCGTTCGCAGGCACGGCTGGTGGGGAGTGACAGGGCAAGGACCATCACCAGTACAGCAACCACACACACCATGGAGAGGCCATGGCCGCCATGAGGGGTCATGGTGGGGAAGTGGGGAGGTGGGGTGGGTGGGAGAGGGGGTGGGGGTGGAGGGGAGGGGGGGGGATGGTGATGGGGGTGATGGTGATGACCATGATGATGATGATGATGATGATGATGATGACCATGATGATGATGACATGATGATGATGATGATGATGATGATGATGATGATGATGATGATGATGATGATGATGACCATGATGACCATGATGATGATGATGATGATGATGACCATGATGATGATGATGACAATGATGATGATGATGACAATGATGATGATGATGACTATGATGACTATGATGATGATGATGATGATGACTATGATGATGATGATGACCATGATCATCATCGTCATCGTCATGATCACCGTCGCCACCCACGCTCCCACAACACACTCTCGCAGACACCCTCTACGCCGGCTACGTCGTGGTCGAGCCCGAGTTCCAGTCCAAGTTCTTCTACATCCTCGCCGAGGCCCGAAAGGCGCCCGAGACGGCGCCGCTCGTCCTGTGGCTCACGGGCGGGCCGGGATGCTCGTCCGTCACGGCGTTCTTTGCCGAGAACGGCCCGGCGCGGATCAACGCGCAGACGCTGCAGCTGGAGCGGAACGCTGATGCGTGGAACAACGAGGCCAACGTGGTGTGGGTCGACCAGCCGTTTGGCACCGGCTTCTCGCCCGAGTCGCCCGACGTGGAGACCAACGAGGAGATCATCTCGCTCTACCTCGTCGACTTTCTGCAAGGCCTGCTCAAGCAGTTCCCGGCGTACGCCAAGGCTCCGCTGTACATCACCGGCGAGTCGTACGCCGGCCGCTACGTGCCCTCGCTCTGCGCCCGCATCCTCAACACCGTCAACAAGGCCGGCCTCAACCTCCGCGGCTGCGCCACCGGCGACCCGTGGTCCGTCCCGCTCACCCAGTACGAGACGTACGGCGCCTTTGCCACGGCCAACGGCCTCATCCACGGTGCCTCGAAGCTCGCCGTCGACGCCGCCACCTTTGCCTGCCGCGAGCTGTACAACTCGGCTGTCGCCAACCCGTCCATTGAGAAGTGGATCGAGGCCGAGGACGCCTGCTCCGCCATCATGGCCCTCATCATCGAGACCGCGCCCAAGATCGACGGCCACCACATCAACGTGTACGACATCAAGAAGCCGTCCATCGGCAAGCTCGGCTACAACTTCACCTTTATGTCCGACTACGTCAACATGCCCGCCACCCGCGCAGCCCTCGGCGTCCCCGCTGGCTACAAGTGGACCGACTGCTCCACCACCGCAGGCATTCCGCTCCTCATCGACCGTATGATGTCGTCCGGCCCGGACGTCCAGGCCATCCTCGACGCAGGCCTCCCGTACATGGTCTACTCGGGCAAGAACGACCTCATCTGCAACTACGTCGGCGCAGAGGCCTGGACCGCAGAGATCGGCTTTGCCGGCCAGGACGCCTTTAACGCCGCCCACCTCGCGCCGTGGACCATCGCCGGCAAGGAGGTCGGCCAGGCCAAGGCAGCCGGTGGCCTCACCCTCGTCAACATCGAGGACGCCGGTCACCTCGTGCCCATGGACCAGCCCGCCGTCGCCTCGGTCCTCCTCCACAACTTTATCCACGGCAAGCCGTTTACCGCCTAGTCGGCCCCCGCTTCCCCCGCGGTGCCGTTAAACACCCTCGCCGCCGCCTACACGCTCATGACCTGGACCACCCCGCCGCCGACCACCACCACCGCCCCGCTGCGGCGGTCGACGACGACGTGGTGCCAGTCGGCGGCCGGGGCGAGCGGATGCGCCGGGACTGCGAGGTGGGTCACCACAGAGAGCCCGGTCCGCGCGTTCCACACCGTCACCGTCCACGGCTGCGCAGCGACGACGGCGACGAGGCCGCCGCCGAGCGGATACGCCGCGCGGACGGTCCCAGCCTGCCCGCGCACGTCAGAGCGGCGCGCAACAACCCGCTGCGCGCTCGTGTCAACCACCGCCAGCTCGCCGGCGACCGAGACCAACATCACCTTCTCACCGCACGCCCGGGCAAGCGCCACCGTCGCCGTCCGCATGCCCACGCTGATCTCGGCGACGCGGACCCAGTCGCGCGCCGCGCGCGTCCACCACGCCAGTCGCCCACACGCGTCCGCCGCCGCCACCGCCCACTCGTCGGTCACTGCCACCGCCACCAGCCGCCCACCGGGCATGGCCAGCGCCTCGAACGCCGCCACCTTGCGCCCGCTCGACAGCTTGAACTCGGTCATTGCGCCCGCTGCGCTGGCCACCACCGCCCGCTTCCGCGGCAGCACCACCGCACCCACCACCGCATCGCTCTCCCTCCCGTCATCCGGTAACGCATCAAGCAGCTCGTCGCACCCAACACTGCCGCCCTCGCCCTCCACCTCACTCCCGTTCCGACCGATCTGGATCGGCGGCGGGACCGGGAGGGTGTGGAGGCCGGCAAAGGTGGCGCTCGGCCGCCCGCCCGCCGACGCCGACGCCGACGCCGACGCCGACGCCGATGCCGCCGATGAAGGCGTCGTCGGCGTGAGCGGCTTGGGCGAAGGCGCGGGCGACGAGGCCGCCGACGACGACCACGCCACCGAGGGAGTCGTCGGTGTTGTCGGCGTGACGCACTCGGTCGAGACCTCGTCATCGGTGACGGCGGCGTCATCTGTGGCGGCGGTCATGTCGAGGATGCGGAGGAGGCGCCACGAGGCGAGAGCGAGGACGGCGACGCGGCCGGCTGCAGTGGCGGCGAGGACCTTGCCGCGGGGAGCATCGATGGTGAGGGCGACGACGGGCGAGGAGAGGACAATGTCAACGACCCGCGACGAGCCCGAGGCCGAGTCGATGACGGCCAGCTTGCCGCCGGCCGAGCCGACGATGACGGCGGTGGGCGAGACGGCGGCGACGGCTGTGACCTCGCCGGCGAGGACGGAGCGCGGCGGGAGCGGCGAGGGGACCTGCGCCGGGCAGAGGGCGCGGGCAGAGGCCCAGCAGCTGCCGGAGAGGACCAGCTCGCGGCCGATGTCGGCAAGGAGAGTGGCGCGGAGGGCATCGAGCTCAATGGTGGCCAGCGGCGAGAGGCCCGGGTTGGCCGAGACGTCGAGCTCGACGATGCAGTCGTTGGCGGCAAAGGCGCGGGCGAGCGGGAGGAGCGAGGCGTCCGTGAGGCGCGGGTTGTCGGCGATGGAGAGGGCGGAGATGCGCTCGGCGGTGGGCAGAACAACGGCGATGTTGGCGACGAGGGCGTCGGCGAGGTCGGCCGACGCCAGGTCGACGCGGATGCGCGAGGCAAAGGCCGAGAGGGCGCGCGGCGTGGCCGAGGGCGGCGGGACGGCAAAGGCGGCGAGCGCCCGACGCATGCCCGGCGGCAGATGGGCCCACACAATGTGCGGCGCGCCCGTGACCAGGCACCGCGGATGGGCTGCGCACGTAGCGCCCGGCGAGTACAGGTCCCTCGAGTGGCTCGGGCCGAGGTGGACGGCCCGGAGGCGGGTGCAGGTAGCCTCGATGAGGTCGAGCTCGGGGAGCGGGATGCGGACGCAGCCGACGAGCCGGAGGACAGCGAGCGAGAGCCGGCAGTGCGCCGCCACCCGCCCCACCGTCACCAGCTCCACCCCGCCGCTCACGTCCAGCTCCTGTAGATGCGGCGTCTTGGCCAGCAGCGGCTCGAGGAGGACGTCCGTCAGCACCGCCACGTTGCGGAGGACAAGCGTCCGCAGCGTCATCGGCGTCGCCGCCTTGAGGATTGTCTTGAGCGCGCTGCTGCCGACGGCGCACGCGCCAAAGTCCATGTCCGACAGCATCCGCTGCATCAGCAGCCGGTGCGGGAGCTTGGCAAAGCCCTCGGCGTCGCCAGCGGTGACGAGGCCCACCAGCGCCGCGTCGTACCACAGCGGCGCGTCGCCGGCGCCCGGCAGCTGCGACGGGACAACGAGCGCCTCGAGATCGCCCTGCTCGCCGGCCGTTCCTCCGTCCTCGCTCAGCGCCGTGACAATGGCGCCGCTCTTGGACCGCTTGCGCCCGAGGCCCAGGCCCTTGTGCCCGGCAGCCGACGACGACCGCGTCCGCGACCGCGTCCGCGACCACGACCGCGCCCGCCCGCCACTCACCACGCTCGTCGGCAGACACATCTGGGCGTCGAGGATCTCGTCCGGGCTGAGGCGGCGGCCGCAGCGCCACTGCTTGCGGAGGATGCCGGTGATAAAGGCCTTGACCGGGCATGGCGTCTTGGCGGCTTTGGCATAGATGGTGGCGAGCTGCGGCTGGGCGGTGGCCAGCAGCTCGGTGTGGGTCATGGCCGGGTCGGCGCAGACGGTGCCGACGACGTCGTCGATGCGGGCGACGAGCAGGTGGACAAGGCCGGCCTTGAGCATCGCCGGCGCCTCGGACATCCGCAGCTCCATGCCGCGGAGGACGTCCAGCGTGAGGTCGACGATGGTCCGCCCATCGGGCGCGTGCGCCAGCTGCGCCGCCAGCGCGCTGTCGACCTTGGCCCGCATCCCGGCGCGCATGCAGAAGAGCACGTTCTTCAGGAGGGCAAGCCGGGCCGAGAGGCGGCCGCCCTTGGCGGTCGGCTCGACAAAGGCCCGCCCGCGGCCTGTGCGGACCAAGCCGAGCGGCGAGGCGGCGAGCGAGACGTCTCCCGGCGCGATGACCGCAGCCGGCAGCGGCGGCAGGTGCTCGGCCACGTAGCCGCGCGGGCAGGCGTCCTCGGGCGAGGTGATGAGGGCGAGGACAGTGTGGAGGGAGAAGGAGTACGGATCAAGGGCGAGTGGCGCTGCCGAGGTTGGGGGCGCGGCGCGGAGGGCGTCGGCGAGGAGCGGGCCGTGGACGGCGTGGGTGACGAGGAAGACGTGGATCTTGTTGAGGTAGAAGACCTTGACCAGATCAGCGGCGGGCACGCCGCCCGGATGTGGCGAGCGTCCGCTCGCGCCGCCGTGGAAGAGCGCCCGCGCCAGGACGGAGACGGCCACCTCGTGCGGGGCGGTGGCGTCGGCGAGGAGAAAGTCAAAGGCGCCGACGCGGACGCGGGCGTTGCCGGCCAGCACCGCCGAGCCGAACAGCTGGCCCACGGCCTGGGGTGCGAGCATACGGACCTCATCGGTGGTGGCCGAGTAGAAGACGGCGCGGTAGGCCGGATAGCGGGCGCAGAAGGCATCGCGCGAGGCGAGGAACTCGGGCCATGCCTCGCCGTCGATCTCCCGGATGGCGGCGCCGAGGTGGCACGCTCCGCGGACGGGCGCGCCCATGCCGATGCCGAGCCCGGCGTACCGCCGCGGCGGGCCGCGGGTCCCGGCCATGCCGTAGGTGCAGACTGGCGAGGAGATGCCGTCGAGGCTGACCCGCCACGCCGCCGCCGCGAGGTACCCAGCGTCACGAAAGGGAAGCGCCGCCAGGAGCGCCGCGTTGGATGTGTCCAGTGCCCGCGGCGCCGCCGCCGCGCCGCACCGCGCCATCCCGCCCGCCATGTCCGCCGCCATGTGCGCGAGCGGCGTGGCGATGGTTGGCGCTGCTACCGGCGCAGCCTCGGCAGCGAGCGCCGATGAGCCGACCAAGGCGTGGAGGGCGGCGACAAGCTGTGACGCCACGTAGCTGTTGACCACCTGGGCGGCAACAAGCGCGGCGAGGAGGAGCTCTGTCGGCGGCGCCCCGGGCCGCCGCCGCTGGCCGGTGACCAGCCTCGGCGAGACGTTGAAGAAGGCGGCGAGGGCGGCGACGACCGTGGTGATGGCCTCGACGAGGTCGTCTGGCGGCGCGTCGCCGAGGGCTGCCAGCGCTGCCAGCGCGTCGGCGTGGCGGATCCGCGCCTGCGGGAGGCCCGCCAGCGGGTGCGGCAGCTCGGCCCGCTGCCGCCGCTGCGTCGCGTACTCATGGAAGATGGTGGCGTCGCCGGCGACAAGGGCGTACATGTGCGGCGCGGCGGCTGCGGCTGCGGTGGCCGGGCTCGCGATGCGGGTGCGCGGAAAGGCAGCAAGGAGCGCCGACGCAGCTGCAGCTGCGGTCAGCGCCTCTGGCTGCGGCGTGACGACCAGGACCCGGCAGAGCGCGTTGATGCGCGCCGGCCCGCAGACAGCGACGGCGTGGGCAATGCCCGACGCTGCCAGAGGCTTGGCCGCTGCGTCGAGCGCCGCCAGGGTGCACATCCAGCGGGCGTCGGCGCAGAGCGCTGCCGTGTACGGCGAGACCGAGCAGAGGAGCGACGACGAGCCGAGATCGACCCATCCGCCGTCACCTTTGTCGTCGCCGTCGCCGTCATTGCCGCCGTCATCGTCGTCGTCGTCGTCGTCGTCAGCGTCATCGTCCGACGATGACCCGCCGAGGAGCTCGGTCGACTCAGAGGTGGCGAGCGAGGACGACGACGATTGGGCCAGCGAGGCAATGGCGAACGAGGCAGCCAGCGGCGGCGAGCCGAGCTGAGTGGGGCTGCTCGGGCTCGACGGACTCGAGGGCGAGGTCGGCAAGTCGTCGGGCATGGCTGCAGCGGCGGCAGCAACGTTGGCGGCGGTCCGCTCTGCGACAGCCAACTTGGCAGCCTTTGCCGCGCACGTCCATCCCGCAAGCGAGGTCGCCATCGACGTGATGGCGGCAGCAGGCGCGGCGTCGACGGCAGGCTCTGCGGCGGCGGCAGCAGGAAAGGCGCCGGCAAAGCGCTTGGTGACGGCCGAGAGGAAGATCGAGGCGACGTGGAGTGGATCCGAGTCGAGCTCCGAGTCGGACGCATCGCCGTCGGTCGGGTCTGCGTCCTCAATCTCGTCGAGGGTCTCGGACGAGGTGCGGAGCGTCGAGCATGTCAGCGACGATGAGCGGCGGACGGGCGACTCGGTGGTCGTCACCGATCTGTCCGCCAGCACCGTCATGCCGCTCGGCAGCGACGAGGCCAGCAGTGGCGTCGTCGGCAGCCCGTGGGCGCTCCCCTGAGCATCCTCTCCATGATGCGATCTTGTCGCTGCGAGTGACGAGCTTGGCGGCGGAGCCGAGCTGCGGTCAGGGATGGGTGTGGGCGCCGCCGATGGAGCATAATCGTTGGCTGAACGATTGTTGTTGTTGGCAGGATGAGCATAATCGTTGGCTGAACGATTGTTGTTGTTGGCGGGATGAGCATAATCGTTGGCTGAACAATTGTTGTTGTTGGCGGGCGGAGCATAATCGTTTGCTGAACAATTGTTGTTGTTGGCGGGATGAGCATAATCGTTGGCTGAACGATTGTTGTTGTTGGCGGGATGAGCATGATCGTTGGCTGAACAATTGTTGTTGTTGGCGGGCGGAGCATAATCGTTGGCTGAACAATTGTTGTTGTTGGTGGGATGAGCATAATCGTTGGCTGAACGATTGTTGTTGTTGGCGGGATGAGCATAATCGTTGGCTGAACAATTGTTGTTGTTGGCGGGCCGAGTGCCATGGTTGTCGGAAGGCGAGAAAGGCGTGACTTGGTGCGGCACGCGCGGAGGGATGGCAGAGTTGGGATGGAGCTGTGTGAGGATAGCGTCCACGAGCATGTCTGCAAACGCGTCCTCACATGTAACAGCTTCTTTCCCGTCTATGGTCCCGTTTTCGTCCCTCTCACCCTCCCCGTCCGCCCCCACACCATGCCCCTGCCCACCGGCCAGGTGGCCGGAAGAACGGCAGAGGTCACTCGCCGCTCGCTCGTCAGCGACAGAGAAAGACGCGCGAGTGTTCCCGCCATTTCCAGGAGGGACAGCCAAGCCAGAACCACACATGCAAACGTCGGTGATGCCCATCAAGTCGCACACGCACATGCTCTCTCCAAATTCAATCTCATCATCCATCCTCACTGCACTCGTCCCACACAGGCGTGCGTTGAGTGCTCACCTCCCGCTCCCACCGCCGCTATCTGCCGCCGCCGCCGAAAAAAAAAAAAAAGAAAGCGTCGTCGCTTTCCGCTTTGGACGGAAGATGGTGAGCGGGAGCGATGCCCAAAAAAAAAATTGCACGTCTCTCCACCGCACCCGGTATTCTCCGCACCGGTACTCCTTGCACACACACGGTGGCAGTCATGGCCGAGTGGTAGTTTCATCAAGGTCGGCTGGGGCTGGGCGGGGATAGCGAGGTGATGGCGGCGTCGATGATGGCGGCGATCTCGATCTGGCCACAGCTGCGGGCAGAGTTTGCGGCGCGGCAGAGGTCTGCGTGCTGGTGAAGGGGGCGGAAGGGCGTGGCGAGGATGGCGGTGACGATGTCGGTGTGGCCGGCTATGGCGGCGATGACGAGGGCGGTGGAGGAGAAGGCGGTCGGATCGACGCCTGGCTGGGCGAGGAGAAGGTCGACGACGGCGAGATGGCCACGGCTGGCGGCCATGCGGATGGCGTAGTTGCCGTCGGCGGCGGGATCGACCCGTCCGGAGGCGAGAAGATTTGCGACAATGGCGGCGTACCCGTGCGCCGCCGCCTTGCGCAGCGGCAGGTTGTCCCGGGCAGCCGGATCGGCCCGCCCGTCGGCGAGCAGGAGCGCTACTGCCGACGCGTGACCGGCCTCGGTCGCCTTGCACAGGGCCTCGTTGTCGGCGGCGGTCGGATCGACGCCGGGTGTGGCAAGGAGCTCGCCCAGCCGGGCTGTTCGGCCGAGGGCGGCGGCGAGGCGGATCGGGTAGTTGTCGTCGAGCGCTGGATCGGCGGCCGGATGGGCAAGGAGGAGCTCGACAACGTCCATGTAACCATGCAGCCGCGCGCTGCGGAGCGCGTGCAAGTTGTCGGCAAATGGATCGATGCCCGGGGCAGCGAGGAGGAGGGCAACGACGGATGTGCGGCCGGCAGAAGCAGCGTGGCGGAGGGCGGCGCTGGTGTTGCTGGCAGGATCGACCCGCGGATCAGCGAGGAGCAGCTTGACGACGGCATCGTGTCCGCCTGATGCCGCCGCGCACAGCGCACGCTGCTGGTCGTGGCCAGGATGAACCGACGGGTCGGCCAGCAGAGAGCGGACAACGTCGTCGAGGCCGGCTGCAGCGGCACGACATAGCGCCGCGTTGCCATCGACGCCGTCGACGGACAAAAGGAGCAAAACAAGGTCGGTATGCCTCCCGGTCATGGCAATGGCGATGACATTGTCGACGTCGCTCGGGTCGGGCGCGATGCCTGCGGCAGTGGCGGCAGCGAGAACAGCGGCGAGGGAGGCGGTAGACGCAGAGTCGGTGACAGCGCGGAGAAGACGGTGAAGGAGGGGCACATCAAGGACGGCGGATGGCTGAGCGAGCAGGCGGTGGACCACATCTGCCCGGCCAAAGGAGCAGGCCTTGGTGAGCAAGTCAGCCATGTCAGACGACGGATCAAGGAGCGGGTGGTCGAGGAGCATGATGGCGATGTGGGGATGCGGAGACCGCATGGCGCGGACAAGCAGCGAGCTGGGCAAGACAGCGCGCTTCACCTTTGCGTCATCCACCAGCAGCCGGACCATCTCCTGCCGGCCAAGGTCGATCGCCAGTCGGAGGAGGAGCTCCGAGCGTCCGGCCAGGTCAACCAGTGGAGCAAGAGCGGCCATGAGCTCGATGGTGTTGGCCTTGACGGCACAAGCGGCGACAGCGAGGAGAGCCAAGGGCGAGAGCGGCTTGTCGGTCGGTTGGGCGAGCTCAAGCGCCGTGGCTTGGTGGCCATAGAGAGCAGCGAGGGCAGCGAGCGGTAGCGGGAGGAAGCGGGCGCCGAAGACTCGACGGAGGAAGGCGAGTCGGACGGAGTAGGACGGCATGGCGGGCGTGCCCGAGGAGGACAGCCCCCACGAGGGATGGAAGACCATGCGGCGGGTGGCCATGTCTCTGACGAGGGCCATCCACTGGTGGCACTCCTCATCGCCTGTGGCAAAGACCATGTGGATGAGGTCTGCCGGCAGAGGCGAGGAGGCCGACGAGGCAATGATCCGTCTGCCACCGGCCCATGCCTGGCTGCGGATGCAGTGTTCGAGGCCACCAAGGGCATGATGTAGCGATCGGGTAAAGGGCGAGCCGAGGAGCGCCGTGTAGAGGTAGCGGCAGGTGAGGGCGAGCGAGAGTACCTCGCCAGCTGTCAGCCTGTTTGTCGCGTATGCGATGAGTTGCAAGATCTCCCGTGACAGGCCCGTGAGCATGCTGGGGATGGAGCGATGGCGATGGAGCGAGGGCGAGGGCGAGGGCGATGGCGAGGGCGATGGCGAGGGCGAGGGCGATGGCGAGGGCGAGGGCGAGGGCGATGGCGAGGGCGAGCGAGGGCGAGAGCACCGGTGATCGATCGTGTGCGTGGGCCGGAGGAAGAGAGAGAGAGGTGTGCAGGCTTGTCATCGGGGTGGACGTGAGCGATGAGCGAGCGTGTCTTTTTACCGGTGATGAGGCTGTGATAGGTGGTCATGGTGGTCATGGTCATGGTGGTCATCGTGGTCATCGTGGTCATGGTGGCCATGGTGGTCATGGTGGTCGACGTCATGGTGGTCGACGTCATCGTCGTCATCGTCACCATCGTCGTCATCGTCGTCATCGTCACCATCGTCGTCATCGTCGTTATCGTGGTCATCGTCGTCATCGTCGTCATCGTCGTCATCGTCGTCATCGTCGTCATCGTCGTCATCGTCGTCATCGTCGTCATCGTCGTCATCGTCGCCATCGTCGTCATCGTCGTCATCGTCGTCATCGTCGTCATCGTCGTCATCGTCGTCATCGTCGTCATCGTCGCCATCGTCGCAACCATTGCCCGTCCATCGATGGAGATGAAGCCAGTACGGCTACCCGAGCTCATCGAAGGAAAACCAGCGGGAGAGGAAGCTGTTGGAGGCGATGTAGATCTCGTGCGAGTCGTGGGTCTGTAGCTGCTCCATGACGTCGACCATACCGGTCACGTCGTACACATCAAGCGCGTCAGGGACGGCCATCTGAGCTTCGTTGTCCATAGCTCGCACGGCACGAAGGATGTGGTCTACGCCGAGTATTCCGCTGCGGATGCTCTCGCTCACCGTTAAAACGCACGCCTGGAGCTGAGCTGTGGTGAGGACGACCTCCGACTCCAGTTGTGCCACAGCAGCAACTGCGGTATGTACCCCATCTGCATGCGCTGGAGATGGTTCGCGTGGCATCAATGTGGCTCTCTCTTCCTCTCTCCTCCTTAATGAGCGTGAGGTACAGGAAAAGGTCGTGCGGTGGCGTTGCGTCTGCGCAAAACGGCGCTGTCCCAGTTGTTCTTCCATTGAGGGAGCCAATGGAATAAATGGGTGGCAGAAAAAAAGAAACTGGCTGGCCGATGTGGAGGGGCATGCTGGGGCCGACGGGCATGGCCATCATGGGCGCCGATCTCCGCCTGGTGGACCGCACGGGCGTGCTGGGCCGACGGGCATGGCCATCATGGGCGCCGATCTCCGCCTGGTGGACCACACGGGCGTGCTGGGGCCGACGGGCATGGCCATCATGGGCGCCGATCTCCGCCTGGTGGACCACACGGGCGTGCTGGGGCCGACGGGCATGGCCATCATGGACGCCGATCTCCGCCTGGTGGACCACACGGGCGTGCTGGGGCCGACGGGCATGGCCATCATGGACGCCGATCTCCGCCTGGTGTGTCGGGCGACGGGATCGGTGGTATGCAGGTCGTCGTTGAGCCCTGCAGCAGTGATCTGGCATGCGATGTGGGAGACGGGGCAGTCGGCCGGGATGGAGGGCGACGCGCCAGTGACGCTGATGATGTCGGCTGCCGACGCCGCCACGAGATCGACTGGAGAGAGACGGGAGAGACGAAAGAGGAAGGGAGAGGCAGGAGTGACGGTGACAGTGGGCATGGACGGAAGGGCCAGCATCACAACGGCGATCATCATGGTTGGCGTGTCGACGGACGACACCATGATCGTCGTCAGCAAGGTGGCGATGATGGTGCCCGTCATCGTCATCGAGGAGGTGATCTCAGTGCTCGACACCACAATTACCACATCGCACACTGCTCTGCAGCTTTATCCCGGCGCTACACAACCGTCTTTGCCTTTGCCGCCGCCATGGCCGCCAGCTGCTTGCTCCACGCCGAGCCAAACAAACAAAAAATCAGCGATCAAGCACTGAGCGTTTTTTGTGTTGCATGCAAGCAGCAACAGCTGGAAAATAGACCCTCGGCCCCTCTCCACCCCACCGATCATCATCATCAGCTTGATCTGATGACGTATGCGTGTTATGTGTCCAATCAGAGAGCTTCTACGGAGTGTTCAGATGGTGAGAAGCCACGCGAACTCGGCGCGCGAGGAGACGCAGGGGCAGGCCGATGCGACGGCGGCCGACTGGGAGCGGCGGAGGATACCTGCGGCGAGCATGTAGTCAATGGCGATGGGGATCTCCTCCTCCAGCATGGAGGCTTCGAGCCAGGTTATGAGCGCGCGGCGCGAGGGCCATCGGCGGACGCGGTTGCTGTGCATGCGGGCGACGACGTGCAGGGCGTCGTCGAGTCCCCACCAGAGCGTCTCCGGCTCGAGCGACACAGGCGCGTCGAGCGGAGCGGCGGCAGGGATCTGCCCGGGCGTGGCGTAGAGATTGACGTCGATGCCCGGGAGCAAGTGCTGTCGGCCGACCAGCTCCACCAACTCTGCCGCCATCAGCACCGCACCGCGGCGAATGGCCCTGCCTGCAGCGCTCGGCACCACGTCGACCATGCCCTCAACGAGCCTGCGGAGCGAGATGGCAGCAGCAGCGGTAGCGGCAGGCGAACCAAAGCCCGCAATGACAGCCGCGATTGGCGGCTGGGCACTGGATATGACCTCGGCTGGCGATCGGTGCCGCGGCAGGTCCGCCAGCTCCGCCACCAGCTCCACCAGCGCCGCCCAGGCAAGCGCGGCGGGCCGACCGAGGTGGCCCATCAGCGCCGCGCGCGCGTCCCAGTATGTCTCGCGATCGTTGACAATGAGGGAGAGAAGGGCGAGCCGGACACGCGCGGCCTCAGATGATGCCGGCGTCACATCCATCAGCTCCACGGCCTTGTACCGCTCCCGCGCCTTGCTCCGTCGGCCGCCGGCCGCCGCCACGTCGCCGTCGATCAGCAGCAGGCGCGGCACGAGGTCGAGCCACGCATCGGGCGCCATGGAGCTGACCAGTCCGCTTGCGCTCATTGCATCTCCATTAGCCAGCGCTGCCTCGGCGGCCAAGCACTGCAGCTCGGTTGAAGGTCTTGTCGGGCTTGCGATGGCCCATGCGACGGCGCGGCCCGGGTTACCGAGGGCGAGGAGCAGACGGCTCGCGGCGGCGTGGAACTCGGCATCGACCCGATCGGAGCTAGCCATGACGGCAACAGCGGCGAGATGGTGATGCGCGTCATGCAGGTTGTGATTGGCGAGGGCCACCTTGGCCCTGTACGTCGTCAGCAGGGCCGGAGGCACTGGGAGGGTGGCGAGAAGCTCCAGCGCCTCGACGGCCTCGGCGAGGAGGGCGGCGGTGGCGCGGCCGATGCGGACATCGTCGACAATGGCGTCGATGTAGGCAGCAAGAGCGGAAGCAGCAACCGTATCCGAGGCGCGATACCTCGGAGTCGGGGAGATGAAGGCTTCGGCAAACGTAGGCGTCCCGCCGTTGTACCGCCCGGGGCTCTCGGACTCGGTGATGGAGGTGACGAGTGCGTGGGTAAGGATGGGCGTGGCGCCCAAGCCGCGGACACGGGCAAGCAATCTCAGCCGCTCTGCGGCATGGGCCACCGATCGGGTTGTTGGCTCGGTCGTGAGGGTAGCTAGCGCGTCGAGAACAAGCTCGATGTCCCAGGCGAGTCGCGCGTAGCCGAGGTACGCGCTCGGCGCGGCGTGGCGCGGGTTGGGCGAAGCGGCCATGACCCGGCCGAGGTGATAGGCGACAAACTCCGCGTGGGCGGTGTCGATGGTGGCGCGGACGGAGATCCACTCGATGGGGTGGACAAAGGCGAGGAGGAGAGGGCCACGGGGCGAGTTGCGGCGAACGATGAGGACGCCTGCGGCGACGGCGGCGTCGACCAGCTCGCTGGTGGTCACGGTGCGGAGGAGCGGGACGGCAAAGGGCTCGAGGTCGAAGGCGGCGATGGCGGCGTGGATCGCCGTCACCAGCTCGAGCTCGGCCTCGGTGCCCATGATGGCGAGCATGCGAACAAAGGTCATGGTTCCACCGGCCGCCTTGCTGCGCGCCAGCCGCTGATGGACCAACGCCGTGACCCGCAGCGCGCAGTGTGCTTTGGGACTGTGTTGCGCCCGCGCATCGGTCACCGCCGCCAACACCGTCGTCGAGGTGAAGATCGAGGGGACGCCTGCGGCTGCGGCTGCGGCGGCGTCTGTGGCTGCTGCTTCTGCTTCTGTCTTGCTCGGCGTGTGGGTGTCCGCATTCTCGTCGGCATCGGTGATGGCCAGCCGCTTGATGACATGCCTTTGCTCGTCCTCGTCCTCGTCCTCGTCCTCGTCACCACGCCCGTCCTCGGGTTGATCGTCGGTGGCCGAGGTTGTGGCCGTGGCTGTCGCCGACATGGTCGAGGTCACGACGGTGGGAGTCGAGGCAACCGTGACCGAGGCGATGTTTGTGGACGACCGTGCTCTGCGCGATCCGCGCGATGTGCCTGCTATTGCCTCGTCTGATGCCGTCGCTGTCTTGCGGCGAAACGACACAGTCGGCGTGCGCTGCGTGGGTGATCGCGGTGGGAGCCGCTGCAGCGACGGGCGTTTGATCATCCGTGGCGATGACAAGCTCGGGGCAACGCTGCCCGAGTCATTGGTGAGTCGCAGCGTCCGTCGCAGCAACGGCGCATCGCCGGTGCCCATGCTGTCCGAGCTGTTGCTCAGCCGGGCCGCTCGCCGGATTGTCGACGACGACGTGGGATGGAGAAGGCCGCCTGCGCTGCGGCGATCGTGGCTGAGATGGAGGAACCCGTAGCCAGCGTCCTCGCCAACCGCCTTACCCAGCTCGTCACCATCGTCCTGGTCGTCATATCCGCGTTGTTGGATACGACCGGAGTTGCTGCCGGTAGCGGCAGCGGCAGCGGCAGCGGCCTCCAACTTGCCGTCGAGGAGGTCATCACCGTCGAGGTGACTGTGACAGCCGTCGCGGTGACGGACAACAACAACCGAGTCCTTGTCGTCCTCATCATCTTCATCAGAGAAGACAAAGATGCTGCTCAGCTGCTCCGATGGCTTGCGCTGGTATGATGCCTCCAGAGCCGAGGCGTACAGCTCGGCTGCGCCGCTGGCGTGCGGCCGCATGCGGTGATTGCTGTCGACGGCCACAGCCGAGAGAGAGGAGGAGATGGAGGAGGCAAAGTGCTCCATGTCTGCGCTCCACGCGCGATCGAGGGCAACATGGGTGCATAGCGGACAGATGACGAGAGCATCGTTGCTCACGGTGGCCGAGAGCGGGATGCTACTGAGACCGGCGAGGTTGGTCAGCGCCAGCGGCGAGCTTGTCTCGCGGGCCGAGATGGCGCTGGTAGCAGAGGCCACCGATCCCTGGCCGCCGATGGAGACAACCGAGGGCAACGAGCCGACCGAGTGCAATAGAGACTCTTGAGCCGCCGAGCTTGGTGGGCGCGGGTGGAGAGGCGGACGGTGTAGAGGTTGGCGAGGCGATCGGCGCCCGGGACGGACGGATCAAAGACGACGCCGCCGGCACCGTTGACGACCCAGGGGCGGATGAAGGGATTGAGGGCGACGGATCGGGAAGAGCGGTCCATCTGTGTGAGGATGAGGAGGCGATCAGGCTTTGCGGCGAGGAGGTGGCGGAGGATGGCGTGCGAGGCTGGGTCGATGCGGGCGTAGCCGGTGACGACCATGGCAAGCAGCTTGTCCTCGGCCGCCATGGCGTCGATCCACTGGCCGAGGGCGCGGGCGACGAGAGTGGCCACATCGTCGCCGTGAGCGAGCTGGCGGGCGTGCTCGATGAGCCCCGTAGGATTGACAATGCTGAGATGGCTGCTGCGTCGGCTAAGGACGCGACCATCGTCCGAGCCGCCCGATTCCTTCCACGGCGGAGCGATGGTGAGGGCGGCGGCGAGGAGCGATGACGCCGGCGAGAGGACGGTCGGCCCACGGATGACGTCGGTGAGGACAGAGAGAGTGGACGGCGAAAGATCAAGGTGAGCGGCTTGTGCGTGAAAGGCCGAGACGATGCCTGCGGCGTGCGATCCGTATGCCGCCGCCCGCTCGCCACCGTAGAGCGACCAGAGCAGGCGCTGGATGATGTGTGGGAAGGCGGTGCAGCGCGAGGAGGCACAGCTGGCGGCGAGAGCGGCGGTACAGGCCGAGGCAACAACAACGTCTTCCTCTGCCCGCAGCTGCGCCCGCATGTGGTAGATCATCCGTGGGATGGCCGATGCGTCCGGTGCGTGCTTGTCCTTGGTGAGGAGAGTGATCACCGCCGGCACGCCGTTCCGCGCTGCTCCCAGGGCGAGCTGGAGGTCGAGCGAGGCGTGGAGCGAGACGGTGCCGAGCCGATGGCGCCACTGCTGCTCGAGAGCAACGAGGGCGGCATCAGCTTGCGAATCAGTCAGCTCGGGAGCCAGATCGTTGAAGAGCTCAGCAGCCTCGTCGTAGGCGCGGCGATGGAGGCTGATGTACACTGCGTAGCGCGCGCGCGAGAGCTTGGCTGTCAGCACCGTCTCGAGATGGAGGTCGTCGACGACGGCCGGGCCGAGGTCAAGGACGAGAAGTGAGCGAAAGCGAGCTTCGAGGCAAGGACGGGCAGCGGGGTGAGCGGCGGGTGCGATGGGAGCGCCATGCCGGCGATGAGGGCGAGGATGGCCAGGATGAGGTGGACGAGGCCGTGGCTCGGCCCGAGGGCGGCGGTGGCGGTGGCGTAGCAGGCGAGAGCGAGGAGACTGCCGCATCGGAGGCGGTTGATGAGATGGATGCGATGCGGGCGAAGGTACGCAACGGAGGCGGCGGCAACAGAGGCGGCCAGCGCGGTAGTGATGCTGATGGCGACAGAGTGGGTCGAGATGGCGGCTGTGGCGACGATGACGGTGGCGGCGCCACGGACAATGAGGTCTGGAACGCCAGACCAGGCGCGGGCGAGCGATGGACCACCGACCGGATCGATGGCATGAACATTGGTATGGCTCACAAGTAGCAAGCCGAGAGCGAGATGAATGGCCAGCAGCGGGAGGAGGAGCGGGCGGGCGAGGAGGACGGCGAGCGGGAGGTAGCCGACGGTGTAGATGAGCCTGACAAGAGCAGCCGCGCAGGCGACGATGGCGGTAGTGTGCGGCGGAGGGGCACCTACGGCGAGACGAAGGATGCATGCAATGGTGGCGATGATGATGAGGGCGAAGATGACGATGGCGATGCCGCGGACGAGTGGCGGGACGGCAAGCGGGGTGTCATGCGGTGCGATGACCGCGACAAAGAGCAGGAGGCCCAGGTCAAGTGCGATGAGCGCGAGGGCCCCGCCAACGCGCCAAGCCTTTCCGAGGAAAGATTTCTGCGGCGGAGCGTCAACGATGAGCAGGGCGAGGCCGACAAGGCCGCGACGCAAGCCTGACGAGGTCTTGGGCGCACTGGAGACAGCCGGCGGCCTGGCGGTGGACCTATTCATGGGCGCCGGGATGTTATCACTCTGCAGCTGATTGATGAGATGGGTGGTTGGCGATGGCGGCGGGAGTGTTCGTGAGCCTCCTAGCGATGATGGCGCTGTTGATGATTGTGGCGAAGCCTGCAGCGGGGCGAGAGCTTGCGTGAGGCTTGCCGGTTGCGGAGCAGGTTCAAGCGACGGGATTGAAATGGATGACGACGATGACGAGTCGTCCGATTTTTTCGACAGAGATACCAACGACGAGACGGCTGAATCGTGCAAAGAGGTAGACGACGACGAGGAGGAGAGCAGATCTATGTGTATGAGGTCATTGTGAGCGGTGTGTATGTAAGGGGAGAGGACTCCTGGCCGAGCCAGTTCAGGCAATGGGTCGAGAAATGGTCAACACTGGCGAAGAATATGAGTGAGGGGCAGCATGTGTACGTACTTTGCTGGAGAGATTCATGCGGAGGGGGTAGGGATGGAGATGGATGGACGGCCATGGTGCATGTGTGCGGAAGATATATAGAGATAGAGAGATAGACTGTATGTATGTATAGCTGTGTGTGTGTGGGGGGGGGGGGGGGGGAGGAGGAGGGAGAAGAGTATGCGGGTGAGAAAGTGCGGCGGATAGTGTGGACGTTGACTTGTCAACGCGGAGGTCGATGCGGACAATTTTGTTAATTGGCACCCAGGCAACCTGTTGCACCAGATAGTATCAGGTATGACACAGGCAGACGTAGGCATGACCGGTTGCCGTGAAGAAGTGCTATGAGTGTAAGTATGTATGGGTATGAGGGTGTGTGGTGGTGTGGTGAGTGCGAGGTGGTCGGAATGGGTGCGCTGACAGGTAGTTGAGGGGGACGTCATCGTGTCGTGGATGGTGGATTTCCCGCACTTGCTGGCCCGCAGCTTGCAATGATTGATGGGATATGATTGTGCGTGTGCGTGCGTGTGCGTGTGTGCGTGTGTGGAGGGTGTGGCGATGATGGTGACCATGACCATGGCGATGGATGTTGTAGGTTGTAGGCCTTGTGTGAGACGCCACTCATTGTCGCCGGCGCTGTGGCGCTCATCATCATGGTCGTCGATCTTCATGTTTGCCTCATGCTGTTAGCCGAGGCCTAGATGATACCCCTCTGAATGCCCCCCCCCCCCCCCCCCTGATGATGTCCCTGAGATTGTTGGCTCATGGCCTGTATGACCACCGGTCACTGCGCATTGCCTGTGCTCAACGGACACACTCAACTGCAGTCAGGACAGCTCCGAGGCGACAGAGCGACCAAGGCGACAGAGCAAGGGAGTGACCAGACGAGCAGGGCGAGCAGGACGAGCAGGGCGAGCAGGACGAGCAGGACGAGCAGGGCGAGCAGGACGAGCAGGGCGAGCAAGGCGAGCAGGACGAGCAGGACGAGCAGGACGAGCAAGGCGAGCAAGGCGAGCAAGGCGACGGCCGAGACGATGGACGATGTGAGGACAGTCAAGCTGGAGGGGTGCATGACTGCTGCTGAGGCTGGAGATTGGGTGGCCAAAGTGGGCGCGGAGGAGGTGCGGGTGGTGATTGGCGGGGCTGTTGATGAAGTGCTCATCCACGTGGTGAGCATGTGCTCGGGCATCACAGACATAATCTTGGCCAACTGCTCTGCCCTCACAAATGCATCACTCTATGCCATCGCTCGCTGCTGCCCCTCGCTCAAGCGGCTTGATCTGTGCAACTCGGGCTTGCCCTCGGCTGACACGCTGGCTGCGCTCATCGCCGGCTGTCCGCTTGTTGTCGACATCGACGTCACTTGCTGCACTCTCATCAAGGACGACGCGGTGGAGATGATGGTGGCTGGATGGCAGCTGGAGAGACTGGTCCTTACAGGCTGCGAGGATGTGTCTAGCAGGGGCGTCGAGGCCATCGCAGCTGCAGGCGCCCAGCTCAAAGTCCTCTCGCTCTCTCGCATCGCTCAGGTCTATGACGACGGCCTCATTGCCATCGCTGCCGGCTGTCCGCAGCTCACGTCGCTGATGTTGCAGTGGTGCGCTTTCTTTACCGATGTGGGCCTCCTTGCCATTGTCGCAGGCTGTCCGCGGCTCACGCGGCTCTGCCTTGACCGCTGCACCCGGCTGACACCCGCAGGCATTGCGGGCCTCGTCGGCTTGACCGACCTTGTCGAGCTCGATCTGACCGACTGCAGGTCGCAGGCCACCGACGATGCACTGGCCGCGCTTGCTGCTGGCTCTCCGCAGCTCGAACAGCTCCTCCTCCACAACTGCACCGCCGTCACCGACGCCGGCATCGAGGCCATCGCCGGCGGCTGCACCCAGCTAGAGGTGCTTGATCTGTGGGGCTGCACGCTGGTGACCGACACCGGCGCCGCTGCGCTCTTCGATCTTGCTCGGCTGACGAGAGTCTCGCTTGATGCGACAAAGATCTCATCGGCGATGAAGACAGCAGTCGAGGGCCACTGCACGGCCATGGCGGCGGGCATGGCCACTGCAGGCAGCGCGTAGGATCAACGACGTGGAGGGCAGAGAATGGCGGCCTGAAGGGCGTCTTTGGCGGCTTGCGGAAGATCGCAAGCAGAGCGAAGAGTTGTGATGACATAGCGCCCGCGTCTGTAGTGGCCGGGCAGTCATTCAGGTACATAGTTTTGATATGGGCACATCGATCGCTGACCTGCATCAGCAGTCTGTCCGTGGCCACTGGCACCACCTCGGTCACCAACTCGGCATTGACCGACTCGAGCTCATCATCGATCTCGGTCTCGGTGGTACATCCGTCCACCGCCACTGTATCATCCATGTTGAACGACCTTCCGCACACTGTCTGTTCCCTCTGTGGAAGGAGGGGACGAGCGAGTCAGAGTGAGTTGGCGCTTCGCTGAAGGGTCCCGTCGGCTTGGATGGTCCATGTCGGATGCTCGATGGGGATGGGGATGGGGATCAGACTGGCGCAAGAGTTGCTTCCCTTCTTGTTGCTCTCTGCGCTGCACTTGCTGGTCTTGATCTTTATCCGTTCCGTGACCTCGACCATGTGCGGCCAACGTTGATCTCGTTGCACCCGGCCCGCTCGTCAGCCTCATCCTCCGTACTCGCCGGCGCCCGCTTCACCGCCATCCATTCCGTCTGGCTCGCATCGGCCGTCTTTGACGCTGCGGGCGGTGGTGATGGAGGCGGTGGCCGATGTATGCCAACGCGCGCAACGTGGTCACCATCTTGCACGGGCCTTTCATCGCGTCAGGCATCGGCGTCATGCCGTACGCGTCGATTGCCCCAGACCGCATCCACAGCGCTCCGCACGGAGCGCAGGCGCGCGTGCAGGCAATCTCGTTATGGTGGGCCACCCGCTCGCTCAACGACTACCAGAGGCGGCCAGAGGTGCTTGCCGAATCGTCGCCGCATCGGCTTATTCACGAGATCCGGATCATTGTCTCGGGCGTGTTGCCGTCGGCTCCCGCAGTTTCCCTACACGCTCGGCTAACGCTGCGGCACATCACAAAGCCTCCACGCTGCTGGGCGTGTTTTACTGCGGCATTGCGTCGCCCGCAGACGATGTCCCGGCGGCGGTGTGGGCGCTGCGGTACACCACGAGGAGAGATTTGAGCCGTAGGACTAGCGGCGTGCTTGGAAGATGGCGATGGCCTTGTCGACGTGCTGGAGGATGTTGGCGCGGTCGGCCTGGAGGGCGGCGATGTTGCCCGTGGCGATGGTGACGTGATCCCTGACGTCGGCGAGCTCGGCCTTGGTGTCGGCGAGCTCGGCCTTGGTGTCGGCGAAGTCGGCCTTGGTGTCGGCGAGCTCGGCCTTGGTGTCGGCGAGCTTGGCCTCGAGTTTGTCCACGCGAGTGGAGGTCCCAGCAGAGGCGCCTGCACCGCCGCCAATGTCGCCACCAGCAGCGATGGTCTCACGGACGTGGTCAGCAACACGCTCCGGGATAGAGCTTGTACCAACGATGAGGTTGTAGACTTCTTTTGCAGCCGCGTTGGTGTCGCTGCCAGGCTTGTTGAGCACAGCCGAGGCAATCGAAAATGCCGTCTCGCCGTTGGCACCGAGAGCCCACAGGTCAGCACCCGCGGCGAGTAGCGCCATGGTTGCCGGGATGTTGGAGAGCGAGACGGCGACGTGGAGCGGGCGCAGTCCAAGGGACGGTTCGAGGGCATTGATGCCGGCGCCGGAGTTGATGAGGAAGGCGAAGACAGGGATGGAGAACGGGATTGTGTCTGCGGCATGAAGAACGATGACGAGGGCGAGGGTGGCCTTGTTGATGCCGCTGGTTAGCTCGGTGGCGCCGTCGCCATGCTCGCGGATCCAGGCGACCATCGCAGATGAGAACACTGCAGATCGCTCCACGGGAGCAGCTACGTACACATGCGTGTTGTCCGGCTGCAGCGTGAAGGGATCGAGACCAACTCCGCCCAACTCGGCCATACGCTCAGCTGTCAGCTGGTTCGCGGCGATAATGGTGTCGAGCACAGTGGCGCCGTTTCCGTCGACGGCAGACTGGTCGAGGACGACATCCAGGGCGGCGACTGCCTCGAGGAGAGCCTTGAGGGCACCGTGCTCCGTGTTGGCAGCCGCGACATGAATGACGGGCGTATTGAACGTGGGTTCAACAGCGTTGACGTCTGCACCAGCGGTGATGAGCTCGGAGACGATGTCGGCTGAGATCGGGACGGTCGGTGAGGCGCGGAGGACGACAAAGAGGGCGACGGTGGCCTTGTTGATGCCGTTGGCGAGCTCGGTGGCGCCATCGCCATGCTCGCGGATCCAGGCGACCATCGCAGATGAGAACGCTGCAGATCGCTCCACGGGAGCAGCTACGTACACATGCGTGTTGTCCGGCTGCAGCATGAAGGGATCGAGACCAACTCCGCCCAACTCGGCCATACGCTCAGCTGTCAGCTGGTTCGCGGCGATAATGGTGTCGAGCACAGTGGCGCTGTTTCCGTCGACGGCAGACTGGTCGAGGACGACGTCGAGGGCGGCAACTGCCTCGAGGAGAGCCTTGAGGGCACCGTGCTCCGTGTTGGCAGCCGCGACATGAATGACGGGCGTATTGAACGTGGGTTCAACAGCGTTGACGTCTGCACCAGCGGTGATGAGCTCGGAGACGATGTCGGCTGAGATCGGGACGGTCGGTGAGGCGCGGAGGGTGACAAAGAGGGCGACGGTGGCCTTGTTGATGCCGTTGGCGAGCTTGGTGGCGCCGTCTGCGTTGGCCCGCAGCGACTCGATCATGAGGCCGACAAAGACCGGCGCAGAGGATGCGGGCGAGTGCACGTACACGTGCTTGTTGTCATCATCGAGATCGTAGAGGTCTGCGCCGTTGGCAAGCAGCGTGTTGAGCGCGTCCACGGAGAGAGCGTTACAGCGGGCCATGAGATGCACCGGATGGGGCACATGGGCTTGAGCAAAGCCGAGCAGAGCACGGGCGTGCTGCGATGCAGGGAAGTCTGGTTGGGCGATGGTAGTGCGCGCGCGACGCAAGTCGAGGGTAACCTTGGAGCAGTTGTTCAAGTTGAGGGTTGTGAGGTTGGGGCAGCCACCGGCGAGGGCGACCACTGCCGCATCGGTGATGTTGGAGCAGTTGTACAAGGAGAGGGTTGTGAGGTTGGGGCAGCCACCGGCCACCGCCACCACTGCCGCATCGGTGAGCTTGGTGCAGCTCCGCAAGATGAGGGATGTGAGCTTGGGGCAGCCGTCGGCCACCGCCACCACTGCCGCATCGGTGATGTTGGAGCAGGAGGACAAGTTGAGGGTTGTGAGGTTGGGGCAGCCACCGGCGAGGGCGACCACTGCCGCATCGGTGATGTTGGAGCAGTTTTCCAAGCCGAGGAATGTGAGGTTGGGGCAGCCACCGGCGAGGGCGACCACTGCCGCATCGGTGATGTTGGAGCAGTTGTACAAGTTGAGGGTTGTGAGGTTGGGGCAGCCACCGGCGAGGGCGACCACTGCCGCATCGGTGATGTTGGAGCAGCCGTTCAAGCCGAGGGATGTGAGGTTGGGGCACATCTCCACCACCACCATGGCCATGGCGTCGATGTTG